TAATTTCATGTTTAGCTAAATAAAAAAAATAGAGCAAATTAAATTAAAGAGGTCATTCATATTTGTTTCATATTGAAAATGTAAATGCAGGACAGTAATCATCTTCATTGCACTGAAGCTGTATGTGATTGATTTTGGGACCATGTTAAAGTCTCCTTCCGAAAATAAAAGCACTCATTTATTAATTTCTTCCTCTATTTTATTTGCGCTTTTTTCATCAGTTGCTTATTTTCACATTTCAAAGACCAACCACATGATTTTTTTAAAATACTTGTGCTATTGGGTGTTGCTTGCAATGGAAGTCGGAAGAGGTAGGCATGATCATATGAGCCGCAAAGATTCTCCTCTTCCATCATTGTTCTCATTCAATTTCATATTATTAAGTCCATCATTTTTTATTAGAGAAGTTGTGTACTTTTAATATAAACTAAACAAATCCTATTGTGAGAATAAAAGTATAAACACAATTACTTATACTTTAGATTATTGGACCTAGATTATTTGAGGAATTAGACAATCATAATCAGACAAAAGTGAGTGCAAACATCTATAGAAGATAAGATGCAAGAGTCTCAATTATGGTGATACAAAAGTGAAGAGGTGGGTAGAAGAAGGGGGAAAGGAGAGCGGGGGGGGGGGGGGGGGGGCAACGGATGTGGACTCGAAAAAACAGAATTGAAGGCAAAATTCATATGGAGGATTGTTCTCTTTTCAATTCCTTGTTTTCTCTCTTTTTTTGTCTTTTTTATTTTTTTTATGTTCTTATATGTTATTTTTACTTTTTAGATTTTTATTTCCTTTTATCTTATACGTAGTATTCATCTTTATCTTATCATTTTTATCTCACTTTCTCTTTTTATTTTCTTTATCTTATTTCCTTTACATCTCCGATATCATAGTTCGGTTCATGTTAGCTGATCTCAAAATCTTTTGGGAATAACACTTGGATGTTGTTGTTGTGTTATCTATACTTTACTTCCATTTACAGCAATTCTTTTTTTTATTCTTTTTTTTTTACTTAATTAAAGCAATTGAGCTATTATTTAAATTTATTTATTTTTAAAAAGGAGAGAAAAATAATACCAGTATCCATCACAGAATAATTTGATTAAAGAATTTAAATGAGGAATACTTATATTCACGGAAGCGTGTATCGTACAACCGGCTGTATGGATGGCACCGTACGGCTGGTGGCAAATGGCAATTTCGTAATTTTGTTGAAAATCGTGACTTCTCTTAAATGAGCATCAATGCAATTTTAGTGAGCATCAAGAGCGTTGTTTTGAGTATTAGGAGTCTAACATTGAGAATTGTGATATCAGCTTCATATCTTCTATATTGATACTCTAATGTGCTCACTATTTGTTTTAATTATAAAAAATTCTTAAATTATGTCTATAATCAATTCCAATTAATTTCAATATGTGAATCTAATGTAGTATGATAAGATTGAAATATACAACGTTTTAAAATAAGCATAAAGTGATACCAAATGAGCATACATGATAGTGTTGTAACAAACACCACACAATGAAAGTGATATAAACAACATTCATCCATGATAGTTTTATTTTATACGCAATGACTAGTTTTGTTACGCGTGTTACGCGTGTTTTCTTTTCTACTGTTACTTATGAGATACAACTCAAAATGGTTGCAAAAACAAAATATATACTATTGTAGTTTATAATGAATATTTTTCGTAAAAAATGTGGTTGGAGGTTGGTCCTTATTGGCCTCGTCGCAAAAGGCTTTTTGCGACCAAGAAAAGTGGTCGGTCACTAAAAGCTTTATGACCAAATAAAATATGGATGCAAATGATAGTAATAAAGATCGTTTTCTATAAGAAATCTTGACCATTATCCATTCGCTAAAGTTAAATTATATAACTTCACTAAAGTTAATTTATATAACTGAATTTTTCACCATTACAACTTTATTACTCCTTATGTCCCATATTTATTTTCATAGTTCGGTTTACGACGCTTAACTGACGATAAAGCAACTTGATCCCTGTTTACACTTAGATTATTTTTAGTAAATAAAATTTACATATTCAGAAACCACATTAAAACCGCTACAAAGCCTAATCAAGAAAATATAAATTTGATAAAAATTTGATATACTATCCTCCGTTTTTTTAATCACAACATGTTGAATTTTACATTATTCACATGTTCTACTTTGATTACATTTTACGGTATTATTTTACAAAAATTATTTTTTTAAAAAAAATATTGTTCAATTCATCTCATTACAAATTTTCAAAATCTGATTTTAAATTATTTTTTACTAATAGAGATTAAGATATAATTACGGTCAAAGATGTGCGTTAACAAGTGTGAAATCTTGACCGTTGCAACTAAAAAATAACGGAGAAAGTATAAAGTAAAATATTAAGAATAATTTGAGTTGACCGTATGAATAGTAACTATGAAGATAATTTTGGACAGAGGGATTACAATATTTGCCATAAATTGTAACATTCGTACACACCTTCAATGTGTTCAATTTGCTATAGTTTATATACTACCTCCGTCCCCCAAGTTTGGGACAAGAGAAGGTGGCACATTTATTAATAAAAGTGAGTTTATGTGGTTGATATTAAATTGATAAAGTAATTAAGAATAAAGTATGAATGATTTAGAACCACACAAATTTTACCAAATAAGGTATGGGACAATCTTAGTGGGACGCACCGAAAAGGTAAAATGGGACCATCATAGCGGGACGGAGGGAGTAGCATTTAATTCGATTAGTATTGTATAATAATTTCTCTTACACAAAATAGAATAATAAAAAACATATTAATATTACAAAGCTGAATACGTAGTACAATTTAATTCAACCACCTTTGAGTTTGAAGATAATCATTAAAATATGTAATCATCAATTTCTAATATGTTTGCTACTCAACTATATACAAAAAGAGGTTGCAAGTTGCATCTCTTAACATATCTGCAAACATCCTCCTCAGAACAAGCACCGAACACAGCCTTGAGCCAACCTACAAAAGTCCCTCCTTTACCTGCAGATGGTTCCCCATACTTAGTCCACAACATTTGTACTTTTGGACAGTCTCTAAACAAGTGAAAAGGGTTCTCTTATGCTGTTTTACATAACTGGCAGCCTGCTTGAACCTGCACTTGTCTTTGGTGTTCCTGAAAAACATTCATTAGTTCACACTATCAAGGAACAACAATGGACCAACATGTATATAATTAGAAAACACAAGCACAATTGTATCTTACGGAATTTAAAGAGAAAAACCATCATGCATACTGGTGTCCCAAGATGAAAAATCATTTCAGACCCACCAGTAATTTCAACAGCCATATATAACTCCAGTCAACAGTACTATGAGGAGAAACTCAGAAAGAAAACAAAAACATTGACAAATGAAATAACAAAATGAACAAATTGATCCAACAACATCCAATAAGTTGATAAAATGCATAGATTAAATTTAAAAAATCTGGACCAATTTTTTTTTTTTTTTCAAAATCAGGACCTCAGACACAGACAGGGAGCCCTCCCCTCCCAGCAACCCCCTTGAATCTTGGCAGTCTCATTCATTAACAATCTCGAAAAGCCAAGTGAATGGATCTGGAAATTACCTTACCTTGATATATTCAGCCATTTTTTATCCTACCTTAATAAAACTGGAAGATAAATGAAGATCAAGTCTTAAAAACATTGGAAAAAACATTGGAAACTATAACCATAAGAGACATATACCCAGCATTATATAAAGAGACCACTTCAGTACGGATATGGCCAAGGTTGTCAAGAAGACTCAAGACACGTCTCCTTCTAAGTATATTATTTTGAAAAACTTACCAACATAAACCTCTTGCCTACATGTACAAGAAGAAAGGGCAACATGGCCAAGCTCTCAAGGTAGGGGCCCAACATCAAGCAATTACATAATTTTAGTTTACTACACCAAATTAACCATTCTTAATCTATGAGCTTGTAACGTGTGGTTTACCCAAAAAGTGGGTAAATTGTAAATAGATTGGTGTTCTCATAAGACATTAAGCATATAGTCACCTATCCTGAATGATACATGAAAAGTAAGGTACTAATTTAGACAAGGCAGAATTTCTTGTGAACAAAACAACATGATCTTTTAAAAGAAGGAATTATCTCCATTTCTCATCATTAAGTTCAAATTGAAAAAAAAGGGCGTGCAGAAGCATAGAGTCATGCATGATTTAAAAAGAACTTTCTATCACATAGGGTAGTGTTTTTTCACATAGGGTAGTGTTTTTCATTCTTTCCACGTCTTTTATAATCATAAACAATTGTGTCTTAACCTTAAGAAAATTTTGTCTTGAACCACATGTGAGTGATTTGTTCGTCCATGTGAGTTCTTTCCACCATTAATGCACCTCTAAGAAAAAATTGATAACCACCCCATGCAATAATCTTTGTTCAACCATGGACCAGGTTTTATTAGATTATTAGATTAGATATATATATATATATAGATTGTTTTTCAAAACACTTAATAATATCGTCTTGGGATGAAACTGCACTCTCTTTCTAAATAATTGCTTGATCGATTCTTGGGACCCTCATATATGACGTGTCATCTTTTTTTATAAAAGTATTGTCATACAAATGACATTATTCACAAAAAATGTTCGAACAAAGAATAGTAATGTTGCACTCCGAGATTTAAAAATGTTCAGGGAATAAAAAATATGAAATTAAAAAAAAAAACTAATTGAAATCAATACCATAACAACATCCAAACCTTAAGGGGCGTTTAGTTTGATGTAAAATAATTACTTTGCGTGCGAAGTGTAAGGACGTAAAATGTTTACACCGTTTGGTTTGATTATTTAACGTAAACTGTAGGGCACTTTTTAAAAACATTTCGCACTGTACCATGTAAAGTATTTTACGTGGGGGAAGGGTGGTAAAATACTTTGCATGCCTTTTATGAAGCACTACAACGACTTTGCGTGCAATTTAAAAATAAATTATACATCTAGCCAAACAATGTAATATATTTTATATGCAAAATGATTGTTTCCCTATACTTTGCATGCAATCACTTTGCGTACAAAGATTTAACGTGTAAACTACCAAACGAGCACTTAATGTAATACCGGTTGCTCATTATTTCATAACCCTTTCAACAACATCAAGCCGCATGACCTATAAGGGCTCCTTAGTGTCGACTAAACTAATCAAACTCAATACAAAATAAAAAAACAAAGATGAAGGCAATTGAGGAATATCATATAAAAAAATGGACAATAAAGCAGAGATGGCGGAGGAAAAGAAAATGAAGGAGAAGAAAGAGAAGGAGATGAACACTTTCCTACAACAAGTTGATTATGCAGCCGTTGTGAAAATGAGAAATTGTATTTCGATGTAGAGAAAAGAGTGAAAGACGTTGCTGCAATTGGAAGAGAGGGGAAAGAGATGAGATGACAGTTTATGGCTGAAAATGAGAAACAGGAGAGAGACGGAGAGATGTGAGATGAAATAAAATAGAATTAGGGAGTTAAATTATAATAAGAGTATATGGGTAATAGGAAGTCTTATTTAGGGAAATTTAAACTTAAACTCATTTACAATGTTTTAGTCCTACTTAGGACAATTTCTCTAAGTAGATGATAAGAACCAAGAATTGGGGCAACCAGGATTGATAACATTTGAGTTCATTATATCGTTTGGAAATGGATTCCCAAACAAGCTAACTCACATGTCCACAAGTGCTTCCATATCTTTTCCAGAGAGTGTTCTCCTCAGTCCTCTCCCTCCCTATATATAACCAACGTAAACTTCGCAAGCCTGTGAAGCTCTATCAAATGCCTCTATTTTCTCAGCCATTTCGTCTTCAAAAGGATCGGGGGAAGTGGTAACTAACACCATCTCCAAAGCTTCTGCATTGCCCAAAAAATACTCTACCAGTTCAAATTCATCCTTGCGTCCTCTGAAACACGGAAACTCAACTTGCTTTAGGTTCAGCTTCAAACAATCAAGCAAGTCCTTGAGTGGATTCCAAATTGATTGCTCCTCAACATCTCTTGTAAATACCTGTCATGTAATAAAGTTATTTCCTACATAAAAAAAATATTGAATTCGCAAACTGTAAATCATTGAATGCTCACCTTGTGCAGAGAAAGACGCTCTAAATTCGGGGAGTTCTGGAGAAAATGTGCTAGCAGGGTCAGGTCATAGGGATGAGGGCTCTCAAAATCCAAGTCCACTAAAGAGGGAAATGTTGGAAAGGGACGACAACCCATTGCTGATTTAAGACTCTAAAAATGAGGGCAATATCAGTTGATGAATAAAACCAAGACAAAAGCTTAAAAAAGGTATAATCCATGGCTTAATTTCAAGGATGGCTAACATACACTACAAGAAGCGGCTGATAATGTTAAACGCTTAGCTTTGGAAACACTGGCAAAAAGCATAAGCAATCGCTTGAGTCGTTCAAAATTAGCATCACCCACCAAAGAGCCCTCATAATCAACATCAACATGAACACTAATCAAAGAATCCAGGTTTCTTCCATAATAGCATGCTTCTGTGTGATCATCGATATACAGATCTTCAAGTTTGGGGGCATCGATTATGATATAATGCTCATGAAGACCACTCTCGTCAGTAAAGAATTCCAAGTGCATAGCCTTCAGAGTGGGAATAGAAATGTCAAACATCAAATCTGCATTAGGTTCAAGGAACCCCTCAAGGTGTAGTTTTTCCAGGACTGGACAGCTACTGGTGAGCTTGTCCATCACATGACAATGATAAGGAAACCAGCCAGTGAAAGTAAGAGTTTTGAGGCATGGGAAAGAAACAATCGAGTCGGGTATCTCAATGTCAAAGCACGACTCCAGCTCCAGAGCTACCATCGAGCAGTAAGTGATTGTGCACTTAGGGTATGGTGGAAGGCAAACCAATCCATAATCATCAAGAATGCCAGAACCTGTCTTCAGCACCAGGCTTTTCGGCTTGAGTCTAACCCCAGAAGACACCCAATCGTTGACGCGAGACAAGTCCTTAATTTCAGGACAGAACAAAGAAAAGCTGTCCACATTCATTGAATTGCATTTTGCAAGCACGTGGTCCACCATAGTCGCAAATCTCTCCAGCCCGCCCACCTTATCATCAGCAAAGAAAAAGTCAAAGTTCGTCACAGAGGTCCATATGTACCTCCATCTCGGAGACAAGATGCTGGTTCTGCCGGCATCTTCCAACGGGACCAAAGAAAGAATTTTAGCCAAAACATGATCTGGTAAACTGCTTATCCTATCAACTAGTCTCTCATGATCCTGTAAGCACGGTTGATTAGGCTGTTTCCTCATTTTGGACAATTAATGTAACTATTACAATGAAGAATCGTACGGAGTATATTGGTAATCTTGAAGAGACGAAATGGAGAAGAAGATGGTCTGTAGATTAGGTTTCAGAAAAGAATGGTAATCTTGTATTTTACACAAGGCAACTAAAATATGACTATTTATGCTATGGTCCAATAAAATAACATCTATTACAGAAACGGTCCAGCACCTCACCAGATTACTACTCCCTCCCTACCCTATTTAAGTTCTCACTTTCTTTTTTCGGATGTCCCATACAAGTTCACATTTTCCTTATTTAGCAAATAAATCTACACCAAAACAGTGTCAAACAGTGCCAAACATTGTCCAAACAGTGCCAAACAGTGCACTCCACAGTAGAGTCAGATTTATTTTATTAATCTGTGTGAAGTCAAACTGTGAACTTAAATAGGGTACGGAGGTAGTATACGATCCAAATATCGGGTATTTAAGCAACTCTATAGATTTGTATCCCGAATTGAAATTGTACTCATTTGAAATTACTCCGTGTAATTTTTGTTATATACGTCGTACCACGTACTATAGTATATATAATGAATTAATGTTAAAGTTTTAAAAATCGGCTATTAATTTCAAGGAAAAATTCACATCATTAATCCCACCTATTAGGGTTCTTCCAATATTAATCCCAAATATGAGTAATTCCAATATAATCTGATCTAAAAAGAGTATCTTCTCAGAATGAACCGGTAACCTGAATGAATCAGGTCGTCAGGTCACCCGACCACATGTCTTGTTCTGATTGGCTTTATATATTTTTTAATCTTTTCGACTTTTTTCTTTACTCTTCATAAAGTTCATAGAACACACCTCCCTCCTCATCTTCCGATTAGTCAGCCCCTTCTCGCCCACATCCCATCTTTCTTCTTCCGGCCTGCTTCACTCTTGCTATCCACTTTCTTAAATTCTTAAATGTTTATGAATTTTTGGTTTAGAAATTAAATGATGCACTCTCCTCTACCCAATTGTTCTTTGACGCTGGCCCTCTATCAGTCCCAACGTTGTTGTCCATCCGTCTGTCCATTCCAGATGGCCTGGTCTCCATGAACTATTGGTCGACTGGCATTCAATTTTTGTTATCGTTCATGAACAATGTCAAATTTGAGTTTGGATTTACCAAGTTAACTTTTTCAAATCCGAAAGTGAAAGAAAAATGTTCAAATTCGAAGATGGCTGAAAACCTAAATACGGAGTAAAACAAAATGAAGTTGAAGTGGGAAGGAGACAGAACCGTTTTTTAAGGGGTTCAATAAGTTATCCGGAACAGGGCCCCCGAATTTATGGGGCCCCAAAGTTTTAAATTTCTTTTAGTATTATATAGTACGGAGTAATATTATATATTAATATTAATCAGTAAAATACAATTAGTAAGGAAGAAAAATATAGATGCATGATTTTTTCGTTGGTCCTTTTACTCTTTTTAGTTCTTTTTAATGAGTATTCAATTTATTTGAGCATAAGTATTTAGTTTGATATTTAAAAAAAAAAAGAATATTAATTTGGGGCCTCTGTTTTACATTTAGAACCGGGGCCTCCAAATTCATTAGACGGCCCTGGAAGGAGATAATCATATGGAGTGGAGGGAGAACATAAAAAGAAGAAATATAATACATGAGAATAATTCATAGTTGGAGCAAAAACCTGGATCTGGAAACCATGGCTACAACCCAAATCATTCGAACTCTTCTTCCTTATTAGTGTGTCGTTCGTCAATTGCATCAGAACGGAATAAAAAAGAAGAAAGGGGTAGGAACTAGGAAAGAAAAGTGAAAAGAAATCAGAAAAGAAAAGCAAATGGGAAAGATGGCCCACATGCAAACGCTAGGTTTGAGTCGTCTGCCCTGCGTTAACTTTCCTTCGTTTTCCTTTTTCTTTTTAATTTGTTTGCCTGTTTAGCAAGTAGCAGGTCATGTCGGATCAATATGAGAAGACAATCCATAAATTTCAGATTATTTTAGAATTATGCACACTTGGGATTAATATTAGAAGACTGTTAATAGTTGAGATTATTAGGGTGAAATTTTCCTAATTTCTAATACTATATTGTAGTATATATGACCTTTTGTCATATCGTACGTGTATTTGTTTAATTGTACGACTCAATATTTGTGGTTTAAATTTTAACTCTCACGGTACAACTATAAATTAGAATTAATAGTCAACCTAAAATAAACAATAAAATTGTTGAAATTTTATGTTATATTCAACAATATTATGATACTTTTTTTATATTTTCACTTGAGCTTAATAAAAACGATATGTATCTGCTGTATCGTTATCTTGCTACATTTTTCGTTAGTTGTGTTGCAGTATTTGAGTATTTGCGAATTTGAAGACATAAATGTCAACCTCTTGAATCTTTCATAGTATTTAGTATGCACTTTCTTATATTTTTATCATCATTTCATTTAAACAAGCTGATGTGATGGTATATTCCAATTATAATATTTGTAATATTCAATACATAGTATTTTTTATTCACTTATTGCTTTTGTTTTTTGTCATCTGAAACTTTTCGGATACCATGATTTATTGCTTTTTATGTTGACCTATTTTAGCTATAACTTGTTTAACAATTTTTTTTTTGCTTTTAAATATTATTAAGAGATGATGAGCTTAATGCACAATATCCCCCGTACGTCAAATCCCTCTCTCATATAATCAATCTTCCATATAACAACACGAAACAATAAATCTAGTATTATCGAAATCACGTGTCTTAGTGTTATGATTAAATATTTAAATATGTGCGCAAATTTGTCAAATTTTCTAAATTATACAAAAAAACTAAACATTTTATGTAGTTTAATTTGATAATTAAATTTGTTCTTTTAGGATGTTGTGTGGATGACTAAATGATAACACGTGTGAACTTGACACATTTTAAAATGACGTTTGATACATTCAACACATATGTTAATAGATAGACTGAAATCTCAAATACATCTAATTTTTTTGTATTTTTAAGAGTATATTCAATTATCAGTACACATTTTTACAATACAAGAAAAATTTACGGCACCACAGAGCAACATAACTTGTGTGCGTGGAGCAATTTGTTTATAATAGTTGAACAATTTAAGCATAAATAAATGATAAGATAACGACATGGAACCATGAAATGCATTAGAATTATAATAGCCTCAATGTATATTGCATGGACATGGATACACTGATCCGCCGTTATGCATATACACAGATATAAAAACGGCGATGCAGATTGTTTGAAAATATAGGGTATGGATACGGAGCATATTTGCAAATATTAAAAATATAGGGGTTATTTACAAAAAAGTAGCTTTATTTTAAAGGAACATATATAAAAAAATGTGAGTGTCATAGCCACAATAAAAATTCAAAAATTAGTTTTAAAATATGAAATAAAATACTCATACCTAAAACTTGAAAGTTGAATAACACTTAAACTCTATATGTATATTATTTTAACAATTTATGTTTACATATATATTCTTTAATTAGATAGATCTTTAATTTAACTTATCTATTTGAAAGTTGGTAATTCCAAGTACATCTATCTATATCCTCTCTCGTGGATATATATACAAAGTTTTTACGCTCGTATCGATATGGGACTTCAAGTATAAGAAGTTTTACTTGTTTTGAAAATTAGTCTAGTACTTCTATAAAATTATGGATACAAATCCAATACATAAAATGCACATATCAGTGACCATTGATATTGAATACATATGGGATACATGGATATATCATGATGGTCAAGTAAAGCACCAGAACATCTTTAATGCCAAAATGTGCACGACTGCACGGTGCACATGTGGTGTGAGAGAAATAGACACATAAATATTAATAAGTAAGATAAATGTTTCCTTATTTGATGATGTTATATATTTTTTATAATTTCTTTTCCACGATATCAACCAAAATGTTTAAACATAGACATTCGGATTGAGATTGTTGAGAAATAATTACCAAAATTATATAAAATCATGGAAAGAACGGGAAAGAAATATCATTGATTTGTTTCCATGCATCTATCTCTCATGTCACATTGTTGCATCTCTCATCCCCTTTCATCTTTTTTTTCTTTCTTCTATCTTACGATCACCCGATCTTCACTATCTCCATATCTAACACCTTTCATATCCATCATTTCCATCTTATTCATTTTCTTTCTTCATTAGCTTCCACCTTCACCACACCTTTTATCTCACCTACTTCATTATTCACCAGAATTGTAGCTAGAAAAATTGAAATAATGGTATGATTATAGTAATCCTCAACCAGTCTGTGAAATTGAGGAGATATTTTAGCTACGTCACCTTTTGATTTAAGTGGATATAACTAAGGGTAGCGAGTAAAAAAATCCACAAAAATGACATAATACCGGTAACCATCAACCAATATAGTATTAGTACTCCAAACATCAAAATAAATAAGTTGAAGTGGACGACTTGCAGACATGGAATTAATTGAGAATGATACTTTAGCACATTTATTAACAAAACATGAGGAACAATGAAAATCTGAAGATTGTGTATAACGAATTTCATTATTATTTTGATGAACTACATTATTGAGTATACTACGAGATGGGTGACCAAGAATGTGATGCCACCTGGAGACATCCGAAACTTGAGTATGATTTATTGAAGGTGAGACTGAGGTAGGTGCATAGTAGACATCATGCATGTTCTCCCTGTGCATGAGCGGCGCCCCCATGATCAGATCATTGACAACAAAATGAGAAGGAAAAAATTCAACATGACACACGGTTAGGTTTGCACAGTTTAGCAACAAAGATGCGATTTTTGTTAAGATGGGGTACACATAGGACAATAGATAGTTTAAGAGGGTGGGAATGGGTATTTAGGGTAGTAGTACCGGTGTGAGTAATCCGGAGTGACTTACCATCGCCAAGGCGAACCTCTTCAGGACCACCATAGTCAGTATATGTCAGTAAAACGAAAGCATCAGAAGCAACATGATGTGATGCCCCACTATCAAAACGCCATGATTGACCTGTTGGAGACGTCATGGTGGATGTGTGATGTGCAACTGGCCCATCCAAACTAGAGGGATGTGGAACATGATTGTCCCGCAAGAACCTTTGCAGCTTCCGACAATGTTTGACGTCATGTCCCGGATTGTCACAGAATCGG